GGGCAAGAGCCAACAAGAATATAAATGGGTGAGTAGCCCCTTAATCCAACCCTATCAAAGTGTGGATCACAGCAGGCAGATGAACACAGCCAGTGCTGCCAACGTGTAAATTCTTTACATGATGAACCTTTATAAATAATATTATCATAAGGCTAATGATAGAAAGTGCTGTTCACAACACACTATAATCAGAGAAAGTTAATGGTACACAACACAGAAGACATAATCTATGCCTTTCACTTGTGAGGAAAAAATGGCAACAATATTGTAATATTTAGTATCTTACAAGAAAATATCACTCACTGATCCTAAGTTGAGTCACGGTGATGATAATCTTATAATATAATTTTGCACATCGTTAATTCATTAGACAATCAGCAGATGAATAGCCCTTGAATCTTCCAAACCCTTAAAAGTTTTTCATATGTAAAGTTAGGTAACCAGAACAAAGGTACCATGTATCTGTACAACGCAAAGTTCCAAAATGTATTACATATACACTAAATAAATAAGGCATACCTGATGTCATCATGTTAACAAAATAATTCCTAAACTGTGAAAAAATCCAATTGCCAATTTAAAATTATTTCTTCATAAAATAGAAGGTATACCAAGGTTTTAAACATTGGATACCTAAAAAAATTTGGAATACAATTTGTCCATCAAAAATATATCTGTTTTAAAAAGTCATTTACAAAACATAAACCTACTCTTATGAAAATTTTCTTCTTTTAGGAAAAGGGCACTTAGTGTATGGCTAAGGCATTCAAAAAATAAATATCCTGTAGACTTCCCCACTAGGAAGATGGTATTCTGAGCAGTTTTAATATAAAAATATAAATATGTCTGACAGAGATGGAATAGTGCATGCTGCAATATCCATTTTCAAGGCCATGTGGACAATACTGATTCTGTGTATTTTAGTTACCAGAAACCTCCTAACTCATAACAAATCAAGGTGTCCTGAGTCTTCAGAAATGGGCCCGCAGCCTTTTGTTTTCTTCTCGCAGCCTTTCGATCTCAGCCACTAAGCCTTCATTCACTGAGTATCTTTCCATTAAAGAGTGCATTTCATTCTGGAAAAGGGAACATGCATCTTAAGTTATGGGCTCTTCACACTATGCAGCGAGCAGTGTTACATGTATTGAGCTGCCACTCTGATGCTTAATTAGCTAGCTAAATGGTATTTCTTGGACCTAACCAGAAAGATTGCAAGAGAAATTAAATATCGGGGAGATTTACAGTCACACTTTTGAGGATCTTTTTGTTTACTCACCAAAGAAGCCTCAACTTCCCCAAGTTAAAAGCACATGTGTAGCCGAGATTGGCTTCACTTGTTAAAACATCCAAATTCTACTTACTTATATTAGAAACTAGCTGTAACAACTAAATACAAATAGACCATTTTTTCATGGATTCCTTTTCTCAGATCCTCACCCTTCTACACTCTTTAGGGCACTATTTACTATACATACCAGTTGCATATGAAACTGTTTAATCATTTCCACTTGCAGATTCACAATGTCCCTGTGGCAAGCTTCCCTAGAAAGAAGATAAATCCCTGTTAGAACTGGAACAATGTTACAGTTTTAGATCACTCACTCACAAAGTATGTTCCCTGTTTAAATGAACAGGTATTAACCACAGGTTTACCAATGTACCAGTGATGTTTGCTGTGTGACTGGCAGAACAGTGATTCCTTTACTTGAAAATTTAGGAACTGGTTAATCTCCACAATGTAACAGGCATTTTGCCAATGAAGAAATGAAGACAGGCTCACTGGAGAGAGGGGGTTCTAGGCAAGTCAGAACGCTCATAGGTTTCAAGGCCCTCTCACTGTCAAAGTCTTAGCTACTAAGAGAGGACTGCCAGTAGAAAGGGGGTATTTGATAGGCTCTAGCTAGTTAACACTGAATAAAAGTTAGTAACTATGATAATAAAATGACAGTACATACAACACACATCATCAACTCATAGAGGCTTACCATGTGTTCCCAAATGATGTTACTGCTTAATGCTTGCAGAAAATCTTAAGTCTTCTGATTATTATGCAAAGAAATGATTTTCTTTAAAAGTATATCTGTGTACTATGCTTGGGATATTGCTCAGTGATAGAACATGTGCCTAACACACCTAAGTCCCAGCATTCGGCCTGTCTTCCAGTACAAAAATAAATAAATAGAAGAATTTTAAACTGAGAAGAATTAAAATTTATATATTTAAAATAAAAATGAAGGTATTAGAAAGGTTGGAGGCAAACTAGTAGAGTGCTTGCCAACCATACACTGGGCCCTTGGTGCAGCTCCCAGGAATATAACAAAAGGCAATAAAAAGAAAAAAGACATCAGAGCATACTACCATAGCCAGGGTTTCAAAAGTTACTGTCTTACACAAAAGAAAAGTCCCACTTCTAGATCAAGTCCATACTTACTTCTGCTCTCTCATCCCGCATGTATATTTATTTCAGTATGGAGAACGAGGCTGGGTGAAACAGGGGCCTGGCAGTTGAGATAGTCTCCTCTGGTAGGGGAGTGTTAAGAGCACATGACTACCAAGAAAGTCAAGATGAAAAGCCTCAGTAGGCTCAAGATCCGTAAGAGGAAGGTCTAAAGCAAAGCAAGCCTAATGTATGGGGGACACGGGTGAGTTCCTGCACTGGGCTGGACGGCGGGAGAGCAAAGATACAGGAGCAGCTGAGGAGCAGAGCATTTGGACATCCGTGGGGTGTTGATAAAACAAGACCCCCCAAGATAAAAAGCTGGAGTTAATACTCCAGACATTCGGCTGCTGTCCCACAAGGGCAAAGGTTAAATCGGAGGAATAAAGGGAAGCTAGGGGTGAACTAACTTACTCTAAGAAAACCTAACCCAGCGACTACAGAAACAAAGGGAGCTGTCTGACAGATGGGAATCCTGAAAGATCACTTATGATGCCATCTCTCGATGGCAAGAACAAGTCTGTAAAACGTTAACTGTTAAAATTATCCACAGTTGCAAATACAAAGAAATTTAAACTAAAGTCAAAGAAAGGAGGAATTCTTCCTGGGAGAAGAGGCTTAAGCTTCTATACTGAGCATGTGCAGGAGAAACTCCCTGTGAGAAGCTGAAGAGAATGAGCTGAGATTTCTATAGATTTTCAAGGTCAACTGAGACTGGCTACAGAGTTTAGAATTCTAAGAACCTCTGCTGTCAAGTCTGCCATGACCAACTTATCCCCCTGGGCCTTCACTAAATGCATTTATTAAAATTAAGCGATAAACAAAGAAGAGTGGAAGAAAGAGACCCCTTGGGGCACAGAGCATGTGACACCTGGGGTCAGGGAAGACATACTAAGAACAGCTTGCTATGGTCTCACAGAGAGGAGCAGCCATGAGAGCTAAAAGACATGACCAAGTGCCTTAACACTGTCCCTTCTGTGCCCACAATGACAGGGGTAGCTGTATATAGCCTACTGGAAGCAGAGGCAGAGCAACTAACTTAGAAACCCTGAGCCACTTGGGCCTAAGGCACAGAAAGCCAGAAACAGCCTTAGTTTGTAAAGGAAGCCCTGATAATGCAGAGGTGGTGGCCTAGCTTCGAACCAGACTCCACCTAGGACCCAGAGCCTTCTCAGCTGAAAGGAAGGCCTGAGCCCACATCTCTAGAATCAGCAGATCAGTGAACTGACACTCGGATGCTTGTATAATAAACAGGCAATAAGTACTACCATGTTCCATTAACTCTGTGTTTAGGCCTTCATAAACACTACCCTCTACTCTTGTGTCTGGCATAGTTCCTCCTCTCTGTGGACACACCTAAAATTTATGACCATGCCTCTTCTCATGCTGTTCCCATACTCTTCAGGGTAAAATAAACCTCTCTTCAGTGATACTTTCTTACATTTGCTGGAGAAAACTGCTCTCTTTCTCTGTTTCCAACATCATTTTATTTGCACTAGACTTAGCTGTTATCCAGTTCTCCTATCAGGTCATAAATATTTATGGTGTCCTCAAAACCTCTTATATCTTTTAAAACCATGCACTGAAAATAAGAGGACACAGAGAGAAAGGACTAAAGCAGATTACTCATAATCTATGCAACTGTCTGGGGACAAACAAGCCCTAATAAAAATACCAGCATAATTAAAAGCATGATAAAAGTCTGATACAATGAATATGATCTTACTGAGACAAACTGATGGTCACTTAATGGAAGGGGAAAGAACAACAGATTGAGGATGCGGCATTAAGAGATGGAAGGGCGGGCTGGAGAGATGGCTCAGCGGTTAAGAGCACTGACTGCTCTTCCAGAGGTCCTGAGTTCAAATCCCAGCAACCACATGGTGGCTCACAACCATCCGTAATGAGATTGGATGCCCTCTTCTGGTGTGTCTGAAGACAGCTACAGTGTACTCATAAAATAAAATAAATAAATAAATCTTTAAAAAAAAAAAAAAAAAGAGAGATGGAAGGGCGGCATGCCCAGCGACGGAAACAAGAACAGACCAACCACCACAGCAAGGAAGCAGGAGATGGCCAGACTCGCTGTATCCACTTTAATCCAGTTGCTGCTACATGACAAAATTCCCGTCGCACCGTCTACAGTACCCTATTTGCCAATCATGAATGAATTGATTCACATTAAACAAACACATACATCACAATAGGATACAATGTACTTATTCTAAAGAAACAATGGTCACTGTGGGAAGATTCCCACTTCTGATACATATGATGTCTGATACATATGTAAAGTAGGCACAACATTTTTATTACAAAGACAATCTTTTAAAAAGAAAATCTCTAATATTTAAAAGTATATTTAAAAATATTTTAAACATTAAAAAATGTACACCAATTAAAAACTATGTATCTCCAACTTTCTTCTCATTAAAATCCAAGTAATTACAGGTTAGAAAGAGGAGAAAAATCTCATAAAAAAAACACTAGCGACTGAAAATAACTTCCAAACTCTGAAATAACCATGAAAATAAGCCACAGTGTTCTAGAACACATTAATATTTTTTGTTTGATCCTGCAAATTTCAGAGAATACAAAGAGATAATCCCAATTACCTTAATGTTCTCTGAGTGAAAAAAATCTATTTTAATTTATGATGACCTAAAATCCTAGTGCCATACCTAAAGGCAACAGGAGGAACAGTCATCAAACATAACTTTATAATGAAAATTCAAATGGTAGAAAGAACAAAGTTAAGTTATAGAAAGATTTATACCTATATACATACATATTTGTAACATCCTGAAGTCATCTATCTAAAAACATTTAGAAGTACATGTATAGGGTGTCTTTCAGACCTGGTGAGGTAGCTCAATGACTAAAGGCACTTGCTGCCAAGGCTGAGACTAAAGTTTAATCTCTAGAATCCACACAGCAGAAAAAGAGAACTGACCTCGCAATCTGACCTCTGACCTTCACATGGGTGCAGAGACAAATGCTCCCTACCCTAGGTCCCACATAGAATCTAAACCAAACACAAAGGTCTGTTTCCCACATCACTTGCCATAGAGCACTTGAGGTGATCTGTAAGTATTGGATTAAGAACAACATCTGAATATATAAAAATCTGCCCCATTCTGAAGACTCAGACAGAATCTGCAAGGGCGCGCTGCACACTAGACGTCTCCATCAGGTTGGCAAATGTGCCTCTCCATACCAAGATGAACTCTGGTTCTGCTTTCACACAGGTAAAGACAAACTCAGTGACTAGGGGATAAGCAGTCTCTGAGAGATACCTGAAGTCATCCAGTGTTTCTTGGATCATGTTCTGAATAAATCGGATCTGGACAGAGGAGAGAGGTGCACTTGGCCGACTGTTCCCAAGAGTATCGACTATTTTTTCTGAGAGTGAACTGGCTACTCCAGCAGTGACGGACGATGCTGCCTTTGGTACTAAAACAAATGGAGAAAATATTGATAGTTACCTTGGACTAAAAGACATCAAGCATTTCTAAATAAGATTTGGTAAAGAAAGACTTCGGAAACTGCAAAAGAACAGTGTTCCTATGACATTTAGAAAAACCCACTGTCTGGAATACAAATTTTAGAAACTTTCTACGACATTATTTCTAATAGTCATTTATCTGTATATATAAACTGCCAACTGTCTAATGTAATAACACATGACAGAGGGATTAATCTTGAAGAATCCCTGAACCATTTCCTCTTATAAAAGATGTATGTGACAAGCCGTACCACAAAGCAGATAAACCAGAACTATTGAAAACAAACAGGAGGAACACAGGCTTGAAGCCATTGGCACTGGCAAAGCCTTAGATTTTAACAAATGGAGAACTACCTCTCTGTAAAGAGATCTTCTGAACAGGCCGCTTCTCTTAGAGACCAGCTCAGCTCCCTTAAATGCAACTGGGTCTTATGTGTCTACGGCATAAACTCTAACAATAAAACCTAATACAAATTTTCTACAGATTTCAGATATTACCCAAGCCTTTCCAAAAAGCCTTTCTTCATTATGCACACTGAGTTAAATCAAGCCCTTATATACTGGGCTGAGAATGAAGCTCACATCATAACAATTAAATCAGGGTTGATGGATTTAACCACTCCTGCCTCCTAATAAGAAGTCATGCTGGTGAGCTGTCTATAAACGCATTCCTTTAGTGTTATCTAGTCCATGGATATTCTACTTATCCTTTAACAGTGAAACAGTCAGGGACCTTTCCAACTGCACATTTCAAACCTAAGAATGTTCAATGTGCTTACCTGGAGTTGAGGATCCGTTGACTGAGGGTTCATGTATCAACTGGGCTTCAATATCTTTTTCTGGCTTTTCAAATTTCTCAAGATTTCTCACTTGGTTAGATGATGGAGAGGTATTTAGAATTCCAGGTTCAGCACCAGAGGAGATCAACTTTGTAAACTTGTATTTAAAACAAACAGTCACTTTAATATGCATTTCTTATATTATTCTATTACCCACAAACTTTGTATCTAGCTCTTACTGCATTCTCCCAATAGGCAGGGTCAGGAAAATGAAGAACAGAGACAAACTGAGAAAGAGCTGGTGCTAGCAGCGCAGCCAACACATTAATCAAAAATGTGAATGTTACAAAAACTTAAATTACTAAGCACTTGTTGACTACACTCGGAAAATGCAAATCCCTGGGAAGAGGAAAGAGGGGAGAAAAGAGAACTCTGACTTTCCTGTGGTACCTAGACAGAAATAATGAAAACTAACGACATTTTTGTACTTCTGACTTGATTCTCTTTTATCTTGTAGTTTTAAATGTAAATAAGAAGATAAACACTGTGATTTGAATATCTACAGACTTGACCTCCCTCTAACCTGTGACCTCAAGGTGCTAATCCTTTAGTCATTCTGAACAACCTCAGATTTGCCCTACCACTAAGAACCACCTGATCACCAGCTTGCTTTAAGCTACAGTAGAAATACATTTTAAAAGAATTTCCCTTTTCTACATATCTCTTTTATGTCTCCTTAAGAAATCAGAATTTTACTCAAGCAGACCCAGTGAACTAAAAATGAAATGCATAAAAATATATTCCCCAGTGTTTTAGCTTTACTTCTCAGAAGTAAGAATTAGCTGGAAATTTCTTTTCTTCAATAAGAATGAAGAATGCACAGACATAGGGTTATAATATACACTATTTTAATTTGATTTTTCTCTATTTAAACATGAGGTTTTTTCTTTCCCTTGCTTTCATGAGAATAAAAATTATTTCTCCTCAAAAAAAAAAATCAGTTATGAGGTATTCTTTTGTAGATATGTGGTTAACTGTAACACAGACACAGTTTGACAGACTATGAACTGTTCTTCAGTTATTAAAAACTGGCATCAAGATTTAAAACTATTCTCCTGCCTAGTAAGTACAAGACGTTAATAATTAAGACACATATACTGGCAGTCACCCCTTGAGTGCTAACCCTTAAGTTGGATATTCCTTTCAGGTGGATACCTGCTTCAAGGAGTCCTTAGGTTCCTGCTTCCCTAGGTATGTTCTCTTAGACTCGGCTGACAGCTCATGGCTTTCCATTTCTTCTTTCCCTGAGGACCCCATGAGGACATTAAGAGGGCTGGAGTGAAGAACCAGCGTGCTGGAGGTGCCTGCATTCTTCCTCAGGGGGAACACTGAGTTTAGCTGTGGTAGAAAGTCAAGGCCTGGGAAAGGAAAGGAAACGCCATACACATAAGATGTCTCCCAACCTTAAACATTGGGTATAAGCACTTTCTTCAAATAATGTCAAAATATTTGGCAAAAGATGGGGCATCAGGACTCGGAAGGCTGGATGACTAAAATGGTGTGGATTTGAGGGGTTACAACCTTTCAATCCTGACACGACTTCCTATCTGGAAGTACGGTAAGCCTTTAAAAAACCATGTGTCTAGGAGCTTTGCTGTGCTCAGGAGCCTTACGCAGGAAAGCCTGGCCTACACGGCAAGAATGTCTCAAGTTTCTCTCCTTGTGCAAATACTTTGAAAACTACAAAGCACAATCAATGAGTGAGGTAGCACTAGCTTTTGATAACTGAGAAGTGTAATGTGTGTGGGTCTGTGGCAGCCTGTGAGACGACCTGAGGATCCTTGCCTTTGGCTCCTACGCCGTGTGCATTCCCCTCAGTGTGCCTGAGTTAGACTAAGGAAAGGAGTATGGTTAAAGGGTAAGCTGTCACTTCCAAGATGAGTTAGTCTGGCTTCTCTCAGCTGCCCTCGATCTCACTGTCCACTAGGAGGGAAGGAAGCACCTGCTGTTTTCAATTCAGTGGAGAGGATACCCAAGGGGGCAAGAAACTGGTCTCTCCAGTCAAAAGCCACACGAATGAGCTGGGAAGCAAAGTTGAATGAAGCTCTGGCCCATTCCTTAATTGACGTATCAAGAAAGGACAGACCAGGAGCCAACAAATGGCATCCGGCCAGTGATGCTTAATGCCAAGAGGCAGTGAGATGCCAAGTGTTTGCTATCTAAAGCTAAAGGAGCTGAGGTAAGTGGTACACGGCAGCAGCAGCAACAGTACTGTTTATCTTCATGAAGATACTTCTCAAGATTTCTTACCATCTCCCTTGCCTACAGATTCATCACCTCCTTTGTTGACTACAGCATCTATAATAAAATAAGAAAGTCAAAATAACTTTTTATTGCAACATTTTTTATAATACAGTTTAAAATTTTTAAAAATTGCAAAAAAGAAAAAAAAAAAAAAAAGAAGAAGCTGAGGAAACTTGGGCTTCCTGCTTGCTCTCCCCAGAGGGCAGAGACTCACACTCCTGAGCACAAGTGAGGCCAGACACCAACACTAGACTCTTCTTTTACCTCCCACAGAATCCCATGGTCATGTAAGGAGACAGCATTGCATGACAAGCCTAAAAGTAGGTGCTGGTGTCCAACAACCCAGTTTCCCTTATTCTATTTGGTATCTTTCCAATTTGGGGCAAGCTTCCAATACAGTTAAACGTCAATGTTTTTATGTTTACACTAGAGATAATGCCTTGATTGTCTCATGAAATTGTTTGGGTAATTAACTGAATTAAGAATATCTTACAAGTATTACAATGTTACAAAAACATGTGGCTTTATTGATACTAACTTCAATTAAAGACTACTGCAATATTATAATTATTCATTTGTCAAAACATAACAAAAACTGTGAACTGAACATTAACATATTAACAGGAGAATGGGCATAAGCCACTATAAACACACCAGAAATACAAAATGGCCAATAAGCACATGATTACCTGCCCCCACCCCCTTCTCTCCAACCCTTTCTCTCTTGAGCACACCAGATTTGTGTGTTAGGCAACTGCTCAGTTGAGCTTAGATGTCAATTCCCCTAACACAAAAAATTCTTGAGTTCATCTTAATATAAAAATTATTTTTATTTAACAGATGAAGAAACAAAGATTAAGACTTTGCCTTAGAGAATTTCATCCTTGAAATTAAAACCAATTTCTAGTCAAAAAAACAAGCATTATGGTTGTCTACATTTTCCTTAAATTAAGAAGAGTTGTAGCCAGGTGATGGCGGCACATGACTTTAATCCCAGCACTCAGGAGGCAGAAGCAGGCAGATCTCTGAGTTGAAGACCTGCCTAGTCTACAGAGAGTTCCAGGGTGGCCAGGGCTACAAAGAGAAATCCTGTCTCAAAAAACAAAACAAAAACAAACAAA